GCTCCTAGCCTGGAGAATTAATCACTCCCTTCCTTGTTACAAAACATCTACCTTTGCATTTCCAACCCTCACAGTCCGTCCTGATAAGCATTATTCACTACAGTATCACGAGTTACCCGTCTGTATTTCCTTTCATCAGCTCTGCCCAGACAGATTGAGTAGTGCCTATTGGAGATTCTGCCTTCCTCCATATCATTTATTTTTAAGCAGCTGATATTTTCACATCAAGCTTCCTAAAGTGTTTTTAGCGTATTATCCCATAATTTTACTCTCAAGAATTTTTTCCTAGCAAATTTATTCCAAAGAAGAAAATCACTATACACACAAAACATATTCAGTGCAATGTTATCTACTGTATCAAGAAATTAGAAAAAGACAGCAATAGAAGAGAAGTTAAAGATATAGTTATTTGATAAAGCCAGTAAAAATTATGTCTTATGATAATTAAATAAAAATCTATGTAAAGTATGATGAAAGACTGAAAAGGAACACAAAAAATATTTATAGTCACTTAGCTAGAGTTATGAAATTATGAATTTTCTTTAAAATTGTTTATTTTCTCAAATTCTAAAAAAATTAATATAAGAAAAATAATGAATTTTATCTAATTGAATAATTAGATCCCATTTGATCTTCCCATTCCCCTTTGTTATATTTGAATAAATTTTGTATTTAACTATTGTTTTCATGGTTATTAAGTTAAAGTTTACATAGCATAAAATTAGCAATTTTAAAGTGAACAGTTTCATGGCATTTGATACAGTCAGTGTTGTGCGACCACCACCTGTCTCATTCCAGAACAAAAGTCCACCTGGTTCCTGTTCCGCAGTCACCCTCTGTGTCTGCATTCCTTCACCATCTCTAACCCTGGCAGTCACGTCTTTATTCTGTCTCTATACATTTGTCTAGCCTGAATAGTTTATATAAATGGAATCAGGCAATATATGGCCTTTTGTATCTGGTTTCTTTGATTTAGCATAATGTTTTTTGTGAGTTTTTTTTTAGTGTAATGGTTTTGAAGTTTATCCACATTGTGTAATTTACAAGTACTTCATTCTTTTATGGCTGAATAATATTACATTGTGTGTATGTTCTAGTTTGTTTAACCATTCATTCATTGATGGACATTTGAAACTTTTCAGAACATGATTTAGGGATAAAGGGAAGCACAGGTGCATAATTCTCTATTACTGTGCTTTTCTTTGTAACACAAGAAATGCATTTTGATTGTAGAAACTACAGACATGCAAAGCAAAGAAATAGAAATTATCTCTCATCTTAGTCCTTTGAGATTGATACACATGAAGGGGCTTCAAAAAGTAATGGAAAAATGAAAATAAAAGATAATGAAATCTTATCTATAAACTTTTTGAATCCACTTCATATTTGCTACAGTTTCTTTCTATATAAATATATACAGTTGCATGCATATAATGTAACATCATGTAAATAATATGACATATACATGAATTGAATCTGTTATACATTTTTAGGGATCACATTTTATAGATCACATACTCAAATATGCATAAATGGACGTGACCTCAATACACTTCGTTTCATCGCAATGATTGCAATCACTTCCCTGAAAATCAACAGTTAAACCACTTCCTCCCTGTAGCTCTTATTTCCATTCTACCCACCCTCCCATCCCTTCTCAATTTTGTTCTTCGGTAAATGTTGCCCCTCTGATATTTAATGATTGGCCATTCCGTGGTGAGCATACCTTACTAGTGTTGATGCCCTATCTACGTATTGTTTGGCTGGGATTTGTGCCCCAAGAGTGAGTTCCTTTCCAGACCTGAAGGGTGGTCGAGGACCACAGTCTCTTTCTGACCAGTAATCCCAGTCCTTTCTTCTTCTTTTTTTTCTCCTTTAAATAATTCTGAGTTTTGTTCCATATTTTATCCCACTCTATCCAGGCTCTTTCAGAGCAGTTGGTCGTGATAGCCAGACACTACCTAGTTATTCTGGTCTCCGAGTCATGGAGACTGATGTTCTTTTCGTCTGTTGGACTAATTGATTCCAAGCATCTTCAGTTCTCATCACTCTTCTTTCTTCTGCACATGGAGAGACCACTAACTGCACCTTAGCTTGTGGCTTATGACCTTTTAAGATCCCAGATGCTACTCACACAAATAGCATATAGAACATTGTTTTTGTGGACTGTTGCTTTTGTTGTTGAGACTATAACCATTTAATTTTAGTTTATGCATTTTGTTAGAGAATATTCCAGATATGCCTGCCTCTCACATGTTGCATCTATTCTTCATATATGAGTCCAACAAAAAGAAACCAAACTAAATGTAACATTTATGCTAGTCAAAAAGATACTCATCCAGATTTACTTAATTTTAACTTCACTTGCATCAGTTTTGAAGTTTACCTTATACCAAAGGAGGAAAGAAATGTATTCTTCTCCTAAAAGACTGTCAGAATATTTGCTGAATATTTCAGATTTCAGTATATAGGCTACGTTTGGACTTTGAATCACTCAGTCCATCCACAAACATTTAAGTTAAAATAGCACAATTATTTTGCATTATTGGTCATCTCCCTTACAGTTCATCAAATTCTCAGGCCTCCATTAATCCTGTAACTGTTAGAGCATGACTTCTGTGGTGAGTGTTCTCTAAGTGGATTTTGAAGCTCTTGCTTTCCTCTCCACTCAGAATCCTGGCTGTGTGTCACGGGGTCATGTATAAACAGCTCTCAGCTTGGATGCTTCATGGACTTCTGTTGGACCAGCATGAAGAGTTTTTTATCAAACAGGGTCCATCTTCTGGTAATGTCTCTGCCCAGACAGAAGAGGATGAGGAGGATCTGGGCATTGGGGGACTAACAGGAAAACAGTTGAAAGAACTCCAGGACTTGGTGAGAGCACAGCAAGAAGCCTAGCAAACTCCTACCAGGAATCAAGAGTCTACTGCTGAGTCATGTTTTAGTGAGCCCTCCCAGCTCTTTAGACCCTGGGCACCTTCTTTACATGTAAACACTTGGCTTTATCTTAGCTAATGTGAGACTACAAAATAGAAAATGAACCCGTGAGACTCTTTTGCTTCTCCTTTTTCTACATACACATTTGAGTTGAATAATAAGTCTCAAAATCAGACTCCCCAAAGTCCTGTATTGTTCTCATTTATTCATTTATCTTATTGCAACATGTTCTTGAATGCCTGTTATGTGTCAGGCACTCTTAAGAACTATGCATTGTCGTTGTGTGCTGCTGAGTTGGTTCTGACTCATAGTGACCCTCTGTAGGGTTTCCAAGGCTGCAAGTTTTCACAGGAGTACAAAGCCTCATCTTTTTCCCATGGAGTGGCTGGTAGGCTCAAACTACCAACTTTATCACTGACAGTTCAGTACTTATCCTACAGCGCCACCAGCACCCAAGAATTATGTTGTTAAGTGCTGTTGAGTTGGTTCTGACTCATAGCAACCTGTATAGGGTTTCTGAGGAGCAGCTGGTGGGTTTGAACCACTGACCTTGCAGTTAGCCGCTCAGTGCTAATCCTACAGCACCACACCAGAACGCTAAGCATTATATGGACAAATAAAATGTAGTCCCTTCCCTTAAGAAGTTTCTAGTTTAGTGGAAGATACAGAAAGTTAACTTTTAGTTACAGTGCACTTATTGCTCCAGAACGAGTAAGTATGGTTATTCTTAGAACTACAGAAAGCTTTTCAGTGGAGTGCATGCCTAAATTGCAAAGGGTTTGGGAGGAGAGGGCAAAAATGTTCCAGGCAGAGGGACTGATGTGTGTAAAGACAGATGCCAGGAAGGATGTGTGTGGCTCATTTGGGGAACCATTAGCAAGTCAATTGAAGTGGTTATATGAAGACTGAAATACAAAGTGTAAGGGGCAGAGAAAGGAGAGGGAGGTGGAAAGAGATGAAGCTGTTGAGTTAAGCAGAGGCAACAAAGAGAAGGAATTTAGACATGAATCTGCAATGTGCTGGTATTCAGTGAAGAATTTTAGGCAAAACAATAACATCAGATTTGCATGATGGAAAAATCACTCTGGGTGCTATGTAGAGAACCACTAAATTAAAATCAAGACTAGAGTAGGTAAATAATTAGGAGAGTATTGGGGATAGTTAGGTGTGGTGCTGTAGGATAAACACTGGACTGCAAGGTCCACTTGAACCGCAAGGTGGCAGTTCAAACTCACCAGCCACTCCTCGGAAACCCTATACAAGGTTGCTATGAGTCAGAACCGACTTGACAGCACTTAACAACAATGAACTAAGGCTAACAGTGAATATGGACAAGAATTAAGGGATATGAGAGATGTTTCCTTGGTAGAATCAGTAGACCCCAGTGATTGGCTGGCTATGGATCAGGAGGGAATAATGAGATCCAGGTTCCTGCGTTTAGCTGCTAGGCGGCTCATGATGATATGAAATGTATTGAGGAAGAGAGGTCCAATTGTGGATATGTTGAGCTCATGAAACATTGTAGATTAAAGACTGAGATCTGGGGGTCAGCAGCATCTGGTTCAGAAGTTTTTGATGTGGCATCCTTGGGTGACTTCAGGAGGTTCTGTGAAACGTGTGTCTGCACATTTGTCCAAAAAAACCCATCATTTTTATAATTTCAGAGCGAGATCTATGACCTCACAAGATTTGTAGTATCCATTAGGATGTTCATAAAGCTACAGAAGATATGATTGTCTAAGGAAGTGTGTGAGAGCCTGGGCTAGTCACCTGAGGAACAGCATCCCTAGGACCAAATCAGAAAGGGCAAAATAGCAGAGGTTAAAGTTAGGAGTCTAGAACCAGAAGCTCAGTGATGAGGCTAGAGAAGGGTCAAATCAAAACCATGGTATGGGAGAGTCCTGAGTGATTAGATAGTAGGTGTTTAGGGCATCATGGGGCATCATCAGTGGTTCTCATACTGTAGTGTGCATTAGAATCACCTGGAGGACTGATTAAAGTAGATTGCTTGGCCTCCTTCCCAGATTTTTGGGTTCTGTACATCTGGTTGTTGTTAAGTGCCGTCGACTTAGTAACAACTCATAGCAACCCTGTACAGGATTTCCAAGGTTTTAAATCTTTTTGGAAGCATAAAGACTCATCTTTTTTCCCACAGAGCAACTGGTGGGTATGAACCATGAACCTCGTGGTTCACAGTCCAGAGGGGCCATAAATTTGCATTTCTAACAAGACCCTTCTACCTGGGGAAAAAATAGGCTAACTCAGCTTGTATGAATAAGGAAATTAAGTTCCAGGTTGAATGATTTCTTACACAAGTTTTCACACAGCTCGTTAAGGTAGGATGAGGACTAGAATCCCAGTGTTGGTAAAGCCACTCTGCTGCTGAAAATTAACACAGCTGTCCAACACTCGTGGTTAAAGAATTGTACAGCTTCTGATTTAAAATCCTTACTTCTGGGAAGTATAAATCATGGTTGGGAGAGTTAGTGGATGCTTTCTTGTTTTCCTTTTCTGCATACTTTATCTCTGATTCGGACTATTTCCTTGACTAGCGCCTGATTGAAGAAGAGAACATGCTAGCGCCATCTCTAAAGCAGTTTTCGCTTCGGGTGGAGATTTTGCCATCCTACATTCCAGTGAGGGTTGCTGAAAAAATCCTCTTTGTTGGAGAATCCGTCCAAATGTTTGAGAATCAAAATGTGAGCCTAACAAGAAAAGGTAGGAATCTCTTTGCCCAATTCCTACACCCTTCAGAGGCTCTTAATATTGTGTGTTCTAAAAGTATACCGGTTAGAGAGTTATGTTGTGAGATTGAAGCTGTGACATACTTTCCTGAGAAGCAGGTGAAGGACCAGCCGTCTAGTGCTGGCTGTTCACTGACTTCCTTTGACAGTGTCTTCCTGATTGGCAGGGTCCATTTTGAAAAACCAAGAGGATACTTTTGCTGCAGAGCTGCACCGACTCAAGCAGCAGCCGCTTTTCAGCCTGGTGGATTTTGAACAGGTGGTGGATCGCATTCGTAGCACTGTGGCTGAGGTCTGTCTTGCATCTTGTTTTTTTTTTTTTATGAAGAAGATGCTTTGGTTCCCCAGAAACTGAATACTTGGATTTTCTTTCTTATTGATGTGGTTAGAGCTTAGCTTGTTTGAGAGTTTTTGGGGCAGGGGGCATGAAGAAAATAAAAGCATCCTCTTAATAACAAGTCAGAACTGCCTTAGCCTTGTCATATCAGCCAGCGTTACTGTTACTGGCACAGTTTCGTTCTGTAATTTTTTCTTTCTCCGTTCTTTTTTCCTCTTTTAATTCTGTTTTCCTTTCTTTTAATCATGAATTGATGTTGAATTAGATGATCACTTTTTCCTCCTTTATTCTTTTTTTCTTCTTTCATCTTTAATGTGGTAAATGATATTCACATAAAAAATTTTTAATTGAACTAAAGGCCACATAAGAGTCAGCATTTTACAGTGTGTAATTCCCTGGTTTTCAGTGTATTCACGACGCTGTGTCGTCTTCACCACTGTCTTAAAGACATTTCCAGGTCACTTTTCTTTTTTTAACTGTTAAACTATTCTTTATTGCTAGAATTTGGTTTTATGTTCTTTTTTTGATACATTGCTGGACTTGCATAGAATCATTCTTTGCAGGGTTTGCATTGTAATGAAATTTTGTCGATTTTATTGCTTCTTTTCACAGCATCTCTGGAAGCTTATGGTAGAGGAGTCAGATTTACTGGGTCAACTGAAGGTAACAATTTAGCTGTTAAGCTCTTCAAATGCTAACCTTCCCCAAGACTACTGGTTACCTATACCCAGTCCTCAAGGGCAGGCTCTTTCTTATGTCCTTATCTCAGGGAACAAATTATGCCTAACACTACAAACCTACTTTAATACAAAGGCTTGGGTTTATCTTTTCTTCTGGTATAATGTGATTGTATTGCCGTTGAATAAATGATGCCAAACATATACCAGTGATACTCCCATGAGGAAATCACTAAGTAGGACTCTTTTAAATGTCAAGAAACTTATATCCTTTTGTAAGTTGGGATTGAATTGATGAGATTGGAAGTTTTATTATACTTGTAATTCCCTCAGAGCCCTGGTGGTGTTGTGGGTTAGGCACTGGGCTGCTAAACACAAGGTTTGTGGTTCAAACCCACCAGCTACTCTGTGGGAGGAAGTTGAGGCTGTCTGCTCCTCGAAAGACTTGCAGTCTCAGAAATACTACATAGGGTCACTATGAGTTGGAATTGATTTGATAGCAGCTAGATTTAAGATTTGGGTTTATTTATTTTTGGTATAATTCCTATAGGATAGTGAGGAGCTATCCTATCCTGCTGTATTGCTAAATTGTAAACTGAAATTCATTCCTCAGATCATTAAGGACTTTTACCTCCTGGGACGTGGAGAACTGTTTCAGGCCTTCATTGACACAGCTCAACACATGTTAAAAACACCGCCCACTGCAGTAACTGAGCATGGTAACTGTCCTCTGGCCTGAGAACTGCCAGCTTATCAAAGTGCAGAGTTTTTCTTGGTGACTGCAAAGTCATTTAACCCTGATCCCCATAAGAGCAGCCTGGTGAGTTACAGGACAGTGTTCTCAAAGGTGGAAGGCTCTTTCAGGTAGGTTGCTCACTGAAGTTATTAGGAACAGCATCTTGGCCTGTGGTTCTTTCTGGAAGAGTTGGTGCAGGCCTTCAAGCCAGGTCTTTTAGGGTATGTCTGGTTGGGTAAAGTGTATATCTCTTGAACAATCAATGATTAATAAGATGACTATTCCTATTCAAATACATGAGTGGAGTTGGGTCTTAAGAGTCAAAACCAAAATAAGAAAATGGGGTTGGGGGAGCATCCAGGATTATTACTAGTTTTCCAGCCCAATAAAACAGTAGATGCCCACTGTACTTAAATAAGACTATTTTGGTTGTAGTTACCAGAATACTTACTCAAACAATTCCTACTTAAGCAAAGAAAAGTAGTTTACTGATTTATTATATGTACAATAAATTGATTCACATAACTGAAAAACCCAGAGGTTTGATGATTCTAAGCAAAGGTTGGTCTGATGACTCCCAGGGTACCTTTAAGACTTTCACATATTTTTTCCTCCCAGGCAGGCCCTCTCCATATAGTGGCAAGATGGCTTTTAGCAGCACCAAGTTTACATCCTTCTAAGTCCCTACTTGTATAGTGCTTCATTGACTGGATTGGTCTGTCTTGGGTCATGTTCATGTCCCTAAACAAAATGCCTGGGTCATATACTTACTCCTAGAACCAAGTATTGTTAATTCCCTACTAACTACCTGGGTTGTACTGGGCAAGGCTGATTCTTCAAGGAATTGAAGAGTGCTGCATGCTAGGAGGGCAGGTGCACCAGATGTCTGCTAGACTAACAGTGCAGACACTAACTCTGTTAGTGTCTGGCAGGAAGCTGGAGGAGTCTGGATCTGGTATATGGCCAAGTATTCTTGTTAGCTCATGTGTTCTTTCTTACAGATGTGAATGTAGCCTTTCAGCAGTCAGCACACAAGGTATTGCTAGATGATGACAACCTTCTTCCTCTGTTGCACTTGACAATTGAGTATCATGGAAAGGAGCACAAAGGTTTGCCATTCTTTCTGCTCCTACTGGTCATCCATTTTCCTGTGTCAACTTGTCTGCCTCTCAAGAAACCATGCAGTTTGGACCTTAGAGATGGGCTAGTCTAGTACCTTAATTTTATACAGGAAAGAAAGGAGGTCCAGAGAGCCAAAGTGAGATGTCCAGGCCACTTTCTTTATCTGTCATGCTGCTGGAGTGGTCAATCTTTATTTTTTTTTTTTCACCATTTACCAGCCTCCTGATGTTAAGTCTCAAAAAAGAATGTCTAAAAGGCCTCCCCAAAGAACTGCACCTAGAAGTGTCCCTGCTGTCTGCCTTTATGCCCCCTCCGTGATTACGACAGTGTAAGCTCAAGTGAGACTCTGTTTTTAGACTAACAAAGTCTTTATTTTTCTTTCTTTTCTTGATCGTTGCAGATGCTACTCAGGCAAGAGAAGGTCCTTCTCGGGAAACTTCTCCTCGGGAAGCCCCTGCATCCGGATGGGCAGCCCTAGGTCTTTCCTATAAAGTTCAGTGGCCACTACACATTCTCTTTACCCCTGCTGTCCTAGAAAAGTGAGTATGTAATTCTGAATTTCGTTCTGAATTTTTAAAAACTGTTTATTGTGAATTGGGTGAAGGTCTGCAGGGCAGATCAGTTTTCCATCAACAATTACTACACATTTTGTTTCATCTGATTGGTTGCAATCCCCTCAATGTAACATCACGTATCCCACTTCCTCCCTGTATTTTGTTTCCTTTCCTAAACTTTCCGAACTTTACTGCCCTTTTGATCTGAAATGATTGATTCATCTCAATGTTTACAATCTCCTCCCTGCAACAACAGTTACCCTACTTCCATTCTGCAGTTCCCCATTTACATCTTATAGTTCACAAATGGACAAAGCAAAACTAGTTGATGCACCCATACAAAACAAACTATGTATATTTATTTAAATGTCCAAAGGGCACATTGTGCAAGCCAGCCTCCTCACTGTAGACACGCAGCCTTACTCAGTCCATGGGCCTAGAGCCTGCAGCTATTCTGTCTCGCCATGCCACCACCTCAGTGCCACTTTTCTAGGTAGGGGTATCATGCTCCACTCATGCTCTTCCTTCTTGATGGTCCTAGGATTGTCTGTTCCTGAAATGAAAGATTAACTATCCCCGCCCCCCCCTTTTTAGTTACACATCTGCAATTTCAGTTTTGACAATCACAAGTAATCCTGCTAACAACTGCAATTGAATCATAAAATTCTGTTAGCATCATCCCCCACCCTATTTCACCAGACCTATCTGGAAAAGAGGAAAACTATTCTCACCCCCTCGTTTTAAAGCTAAACATATCCATGAAAGCTTGTAAGCCAGTCACTTCATGCCTTTATAGCCTATTCTTTTGTTTGTTTGCCTTTTTAAGCTTTTTATTGTGAATTGCTTGAAGGTTTACAGAGCACATCGTTTTCCATTCAATAATGCATACATTTTGTTTCATCTTATTGATTGTAGTCCCCTCAATGTGACATCACCTGTTCCACTTTCTCCTTGTGTTTCCTGTTTCCATCCCTCCTTTCCTAACCTTTCTGAGCTTTGTTCTTTGGTAAATGCTGACCTTTTGATCTTTTTTTTTAGAGCTTTTATTGTGAATTGAGTGATAGTTTACATGGGAGAACATCAGCTTTACACTCATCCTGTCATATTTCATCTCATTGCAATGACTACAATCCCCTCCATGCATCATCATTCAACAGCATTTGCTTCTATTCCCTGTTTTTTTTTTGGATGTACACCAAAGCACTCAGGAGGATACAATCATTCAAACAACTAAAGGGTATACCCTGCAAGCCTGCCCCCTGCCCCCTGGCTGCCAGCACACAGCCCTTCTCTCTCCCTGAGTCTAGAGTCCCAGCCACTCCATCTCTCCCGGTCATCATCTCTGCCTCTATCAGTGGCATCACTGCTTCTCCAGATAGGGTCCCACACTCCGCTATTCTCTCTTGATAGTTCCAGGGTCCTCTACTCCTGGACCGCAAAATCAACCACTCCCCTCCTTTTGTTATAAAACACGTACCTTTACATTTGCAACATTCACAATCAGTCCTGATAGCAGTTATTCACTATTGAACCACAAGAGTCTTTTCCCCATCTCCTTTCACCAACCCCATCTAGACAGGTGGGAAACCACTCAGTGGAGATTCTATCTTCCCTTGCACCCTCTGAAACTAGGCTCCCTCTTGAAAACTCGTGAGCCAGTCACTTTGTGTCTTTGTAGCCGTCACCATTTTGGGTAGCCAATGTCTAAGTTACCCATCCCTGTCAACCCTGTGTACAGAGGGAGTGGAAATGATCCTCGCTGTAAAGACTTGTTCCCTCTTTTAAGCTACTACATCCATAAGTATAGGTCAAAGTCATCAAATTGTAGTGGATTACACTTTTTTCTCTCTTCTTTCTTCCTCTAGTTGAGTTCTGATCATCCAGCCATTGAAGCTAGGTCAAATGGGTACTTTCTTCAAGTATGAGTGTTCTTGTGCATCTCCCCTCACTTCATATCAACTGGATGCTTCATAACTGATGTCTAGTTCATCAAATTAGGTCCTGGTGTGGCACTGCGGGTTAAAGCGCTGGACTGCATGGTGGATTTGAACCTAAAGGTCTGTGGTTCAAGCTCACCAGCCACTTGGAAACCTTAGACAGGATTACTATGAGTTCGAACTGACTCAACAGCATTTGATGACAACAGTGTCTAAATTGCCCATCCCTATCAATCCAGTACATTGAGGAGACAAGCATGCTCCTTACTATGAAGAATCTTCCATTCTAGTTGGAACTTTGAACAACTGCATGCATAACCAAAAGTTCATCAAATTGTAGTAATTTACATCTGCTCACAGTATCAAACATCTTTATATTCACCTGTTTGGGTTCTGGTCACAGCTCAGCCCTATACATCCAAGCTAGGTCAAGTGGGTACCAGCTGCAAGTTTGGGAGTTCACGCATACCTTGCAATTCAGACCAGCTGGCCCCTTCACTCTTAGCCCTAGCCCTCAGAGGCTAGGTCAGTGCCCATGGGCTCAGGAGTTCACACAGCTTTCTAAACCTCATACCAATGGTTGGTTATTCTAAAGTGTGTGTGCCTTCCTTATGGTATTGCTCCACTTAAAGATCTGTTTGTTACTTGGCTGAAAAATTGGTCTGGGGGCTGAGGTCATTTCCAGACCTGAAACATGAGTAAGGGCATCTAATGTGCCAGACTGCAAAGCCGTTTGAACTGCAAGGTCGGCAGTTCAAGCTCACCAGCTACTCCTCGGAGAACCCTATACAGGGTTGCTATGGGTCGGAATCGACTCGACAACACTTCACAACAACAGCCAGTCTCTATCTGACCAGTATGCCTGGTTTTAAATTTTTTTTTATGATTTCTGAGTTGCTTACAGGTAAATATATTCCCCACCGTACTTCCAAAGGAGGAAATGCACAAGAATACAATTGGTGAGGACAAGATAACTACCAGCTAGTTTTTAGCAATTTGTGTAAATCAGAGGTTGCAAACTCAATTGTCTTCCTGGGCTTGTCAGATAGCATGAAAAAGTGAAGCAGCAGATGGAGAAAGTAAGGAGTGGTAGCATGGACACTGGAATGAAATGGAGGGTTCAGGCCCACCGAAAAGCAACCAAAGTTTAAAACCGTAATAATAGAATAGTGCAGGCTGCTAGTTTGTCATCTCTGCGGAATGCAGTCTCAGGCACCACATTGAAACCTTGATAATTACATCAGATCTGACAAATTCCTCCCAAACTTTGGTAATTTTGGGTTGGTTTGTTTGGGAAAGTCCTCCTGCCTGATTATCTTGCTGTGGATTTTAGTCACTGGAGAGAAGATCATCTAGGCCCAGAGAAAGGCAACAGGCAGCCAAGCTGAGGAGATAAAATAAAGGAGCCGGAGCCAGGTGCTAAGAGACTTTATCTCATCAGGTTTATTCTTGCTCTCGGGAGCTTTCCAAGTGCTGTTTCTTACCTGGTCCAGACACAATATCCCCAAACCAGGCGACAGCTAGAGTTCTAGAGAAAGACCGTGGAAGAAGCATACTTGACTTTGGTGGTGACATCTGAACTCTATCCTCACATCATTCCCTGGGACTTACTTACTAGTTGGAGAACTGACCTTGGTGGAGGATGAAACATGTCATATTAAGTGATACTGGAGGAGTGGAGAAAAGGGAAAACAAAGGGACAAAAGGGCCGTCTCTTCTCCCAACCACATCTCTTCATTATCCCTTTTCCTCTTCACAACATTCTCTACTGTCTGAAGGTAGAGAGACTTAAGGTCTGTTAAGTGCCGTTGACAGTTCTGACCCATAGCAACCCTCTGTAGGGTTTCCAATGAGCAGCTGGAGGGTTTGATTCGCTGACCTTGAGATTAGCAGTCCAGTGCATATCCTAGAATGCCACACTAGGACTCCTAGGGTCTGATAGAGTGGGCACAAACTGGAAGAGGCTGGATGAGGGAGAAGATTCTAGGTCAGGTTCAGAGCCCACTGGGTATGCTGCCTGGACCTTGTCAAAGAGCCTCCAAAGCTGTAACTCAGTGTCCCACGGGTGGGCAGTCCATTTAACACCTAATTTGATATGCTCTACCCACATTTTGCTACTTGCTAGACCATTTAAAAGGTAGAGCTTTTTTCAGACATGTAATTTCATTCTCC